CTATTATAGGCAATCTTTAAACACTGCCACCATAAAGACTTTTTTAACTTCACTATATTTAAAGGCTTTCTCTGTTTTTCAGAGCCAGAGCCTAGCATCTTTGCTGACTACCACACACAACTTCATACAATATTTCAGCTTACATCCAGGAAACAAAAAGTCCTTCTGTTTTTATGAATTATTTTGCCTAATTAATTTAAAAAAATGAACATCCTTCCTCCAAAATTCTCCTTTCTAAAATAAAGTCTGCAAACCAATGGCAGGCTTGGGCCAGGTGCATCTGTTTACAGAAGGTGCCAACTCTAATCAATGACCTTGTGTTTCTGGGGCCCAGTGAGAATTATCTGCCACGAGATGTGTCAGGCAGCATATTAGATATTAAAATGCTCAACTTATTTAAAACCCAATTTGAAGCAGGGAAATGAGCTTAGATTTAGCACTTTCAATGTAAATTATGGTTTCTGGGTAGATGAATTAACTTTGGGGGAAAATGTTAATTAAAATACATTTCAAAAAATATCCCAAAATTCTGTTTCAAATCATTTAAAAGAGGAATAGAGGATGTGTATTAAGCCCTCGGTTGGTTGGGGGCAGGAGGGATAAATCAAAAAAATAATGTTAATACCTACTGTTGGGGTTGCAGTGGGTGATAATTTGCTGAAGTTGGCCTTGAACTTGCAATCCTCCTGCCTCAGCCTCCTGAGATGCTGGGATTATAGGCATGTGCCACCATGTTTGACTTATAAATTCTCCATTAATGGCCAAGAAACAAATCAATCTTGTCTTAGGCAGCCTCAACCAATGTACTCATCTTTATTAGAAAAAGTTTAATTGAGTGAGATTTTGAGAACAAGCTTAAATATATTTCTCTTCTCACTTAATTCTAACTTACTACACAAATCCATCATTATGGTTCATTTAGACCAATATATTACTACTACTGGACTCAAAATAAATCTTTATTTACAGTCATACAACTTCCTTTTCATCTTGCTCTACTAACATGGTTGGGGGGATTGGGGGGTTGTTTGATTATTTGGGGTTTTTTGTTTTGTTTTGTTTTTTGACTCTGGACTGTTTCTGACTCTTGGGGAAACTGAAACAATAAGAATATATCTGTCAGTGTATGTATGTGCCTAATACCTGAAGAAAGTATATATAGCATTACAAATGCATAATGCACTGCATAAACTAAATATAAAGTAAGTTATTCTTCTGATGAAGTAATTACTTAAGCCACATAGGCTTTTAAAATTTATTCTACCTTTTATTTTTAAATGCTCTAAAACTTAACATAAAAAATTGTAAGAGCAGTACCTGATGTTCTCTATTTTCAGTGTGTTTAGTTATTTGCTCAATGCTATGCATGTTATAAACCTCCCAATGCCCAACTCAAACACCAGTAGTGCCAGCCACATCCTTGACCCCTAAGCTCTGCATGTGCTGGCTGCACTGACCGAATCCTTGACCCAGACCAAAGGGAAGCAGAAAGGACCACATTAACTTTTTCTCACTATAATTTGAATTGCATTGAGGAATGCCATGAGTTTCCAGATGTGCCTTCTGGAGCCTCTAGGGGAGCCTTCTGCTCCGTGACAATTGTGCAATCTCCATTTCAGACATTTCACTCTTTCTTGTAAAGTTCTGAAAGGGTCCACATCAGAATTTCATACATACTTTCACTCTTAATCTTTTTTCTCAAATGAAGCACCATGAGGTTTGTGGAGTTTTGAATTTTATGATAGACTATTTCCAGTTTTCTTTCACCATCAGCAATTGTGGCAAATACTGAGGGGGTGGTAGGAAAATATGAGGGAGAAAAAATGGGAAAATCAATTGTGTCTCTTACAATTACAGGAAATAAACCTGATGGAATATTCTGTTTTATTGCACTGGATCTGAATCATCAAACGAGAGACATTTGATCTGTCTGGTTTATTCATAGAATGTGGTTTAATATATTATATCAAACTAGAAGATACTGGATGAGTCATTGAACCACTCATCAAAGTTCATTCAGCAAAAGACCACCTCGGTTGCTGTGCAAGTTAGAGACTTAGAGAAGAAAATAGCTCTTCTCAGTATTAGTCATAATGCCCCCTTTCTAATGTACTAGGGGAAGATTTTTTTTTTCAAAAAATAGAATAAGCCAGTGACTCAGTCATTTGCCTAATGTCCCAGAAATTGAGCACAGAAGGAGTTCAAGGTCTCCTGGCTCCTTTCCTCATGCTCACACCTGAGAAAAACACGACTCTTCTGAGTGCAGGTAACTGGTAAGAGGCTTCTGCTTCAGTCAGCACTCAGGAAGTCATGAGTTACCCACCTTTCTGAGTAAAGACAGGTTGTTTCATCCTCCTCCACTAGAAGTGCACACGGAAATAAAGTAAGACAACTTAACCTTCAAAGAAACCTGCCAAAAATATGGAAAAGGATTCTCAACCTTAAGAGTTGTTCTCAAATAGGGAAGGATGAAGCAGCGTGTTCAGCTGCTCAGAAACTGTATCCCAAATGCAAGAAGTGATGTTTGTCCCCAAATAAAGTCATATGATAAACACATGTGCTTGTAAAACAGCCCACTCCAAACCACGCACTGAAGTGAAAAGTGAGTTGAAGATGTATTTTATTGGATGAGCCATGTACAAATCTCAGTATATGTTCACAACCTCATTAAATATATGGCAGTTTCTTTGGAACAAACCAAACAGGGTCACAAACATCCTAAGCCTAATTTGGAAAACAGAACTACTGGGCAAGTCAAGCTTCAGGCCACAGACCAACCACAACAGCCACAAGTATGGATGGACAGATAAATCTGGAAACCTCTAGTATAGAACCTTGGATGTTCCTTGGAGCCTGGAGACAGGGTTAAAGTAGGTACTCGGGGAATTACTGCATTTGTCCATTTGAGACATATTTGAAAAGTTAGAATCATAAAATCACCACTACTTCTTGTCCTATACCCTAAATTCACCTCTGTATAAACACCATTAATATAAAATTCTGTGAAACAGGTGACACTAAGAGATGTCAATTCTGCAGCCATTTGTATGAAAAAAATGACATATTTCTAAATTGTGTGTTAATTCTTGACCTGTACCATTCATTCCCAGTGTTTTAAAAATAGTTTCAGAACAGATTTTCTCCAACTAGTGTCTGAGGATCTCTGTAGGTAAAGGGCTATACTCTTGGGGTTTCGAGTAGTCTCGTAATTTTTTCAGTATTAGATTTTCATTGCTCTGATAACCTTTAAAAACTTAATACAGAATATTTTAAATCATCTGGAGGATCCCAAACTGCCATTTGATTGTGCTTACAAACAAATTGATGCCACATGGTATTTCTAAAGGGAAAAAGAAATGGCTTTAATATATAAACCATGCACTTACCCCCAAATGCAGGCCAAATGCTGTCATGATTTACTATACAAAAGAAGTTTTCACAGCAGTTCCCAAAGGGCAAATTGGGGTGAACTGAATCATCGCATAACACAGGGTAATGCAGACCTCACAGTCCCTGCCATAGGGAAGGCAGTAAAGGCAGCTTTCTGTGCCAGCGGCTCTGGCTTCCATTCCCATACACACAGTTAGAATGTGCATCCAAGGCAGAGGGAATCCAGAGATGAGCACCAGCAGCAGGCTTCTTGTAGAACATCTTTTCAGAAGGCTTTAGCAGAGCACATTTTCATGAAATGAGGACATAAAGAGAACCTCACCTTTAAGCACAATACAAAATTATGAAATATAAAATTTGGCTAAAAATAGTTAAAATGAAAGAAATATTATTGACAGAGGCATTGTCATGCAAATCAGAGCTCTTAATTTAAAAATCCAATGTGTAGCAATTACAGATAGAAAGACAGAACTTTCTGAAAGCATGTATTCAATTCCAGTTCCCGTAGTAAAGGAAGTTTGGGCACCTGCTGTGCAAAGGTCCAGTGACACAGGGTTCCTAGCCTTAGGGTACACTTATATTTTAAGGAAAATGACACATACCTAGAGCGATCATTTCAGTGTAATTTGGGTACTATGAGGGATAGAGAAGATCATTTTTACAGGATGATATAAAAGAAGAACCAAATAATCATGAACTAAAGTAGGTTCATGGCAAGGGAGATTGCAACAAGAAACAGAAGTGGAGAATTCAAGTGATGAAAGAAGAGTATCAGATCCAGACCTAGAGTGGAGATAGTATAGTATTGAGAAGGGGTTAATTTTTCTGCTAAATGCCTGTACACATGGTACAAGTGTTCTACCTTAGATCATTGCATGTCCTCAGTGCATGGTACTTAATCAGAGTCTGGGCTGCATTCCTTTCAACTCATCCAGCCTTTCTTAGTAATATATTTTAACATCTCAGTAGCATCCTGTATCAGTAACATTTTTAAAGTAGCAATAATTAATCCTATCATGCTGGGGAGCTTCCTCAAAATAATCAAATTCCTCAGATTATTGCAAAATCTGAACTTCATGTTTATACAATTTTTAAAAATAACAGATATTCATATGTGATCATTGTCTTTAATCCAAGATACAACTTATTATGTCTTCAAAAGGAGAGGGGGAGTGGTACCTTATAAAGTTAGATCAAGAAGCAGAACAATTGAAAATGGAATTATGCTAAATTGTTGAGACCCACTTAGCTCTATTGCAATAGAGGTATTGCAATAGCCCAGACTGCCAGATGTATTTCTAGGAAACCCCATTTAAGAATTTTTATTTTCATATGAGAGTTATTTATAAATAACTAGGATTATAATGTCTTCTGCCTCTATCTCTTTGCGGTCAGTATTACAAATCATCCTGGAAATCTGGGCCCAATGGATTCAAAGAGCCCCCTTGTAGTTGAATGGTTACAGCCTTCAGGGGTGACCCTGCGGATCAGGGAAGCAAGTCTCAGCACAACACTGAAATGTTGAAAGCTTCCATTCAAATTCTAAGTATGGGATTTTGTGGTGAAAGTAGTTGTGGAATCTGACTAAGTTCTACAGCTAAGTGTAAGACATCAGGTTCAACACATTGGAACTGTGAATTTATTATTAGTTGTAAATTTTGTCCCCAACCCCACCCAAACTCAAGATTCTTTAGTAATTTAGACACATGTAATCTTTTAATAGAAATCTAGAGAAGATAAAAGTATAGCATAAAAGATCAGTTCTAATCACAGTTTATGCTGTTGCTGGAAGGTTACACAAACTCACTTCTAGATCCTGGGAGAGTGTTATGCTTTATTTATTGTTTGGCAATATTGCCTGATTTTTCCCAGTGTTTTTTGTGCTTAGGAAACTTCTTATGCGTTTCCTTTTTTGCAGCATAGCTGCTGATTTCAGTGAAAAATGGATGATGAAGTATTTATTCATGTATATAGTTTTTCTTTTCCTTTTGCATTTTTTGAAAATAAAATCTTATAGTACAGTCCCCCCAGGTACTGATAGAAGCCAGGCAGAAATTATGTAAAGAAAAAAGATGAGATTAATATTTCAGTTTGAATGTCAAAAGCAGAGGGAACTTGGGCAGTATAAAAGGATCATGAATTCACAGATAATATTATCTGTAGTATTTTATCTTCATATAGAACTGTAAAAATTAGGAATTCGTTTTTTAATTTGAAATAAATATGTGACTTACTATAAAGTAAATTACTTAAAACAAAAGTATTATCCACTAGATTTTTTTTACTTTCTTTATATTGCATTCATCTCACCTCTTTCTCAAAATCTCATTCCATAAGCATGTTTTATTAATGATCTATTAATAAGCATTCACTTAAAACATGACTGATTAAAAAGTAGACCTGATTTTAAGTAAGTGTTCTGAAAATGTTTCATTTATTGAATTCATTGAGGTTTAAGTTCTCATTTGTATAGCTGGAGGGTAAATTACAGACACTCATGCTTGTTTTATCATTATAATGAAAGCAGTACTCATATTTGCAACACTAATTAAAATTCTACTCTGACCCATATAACTGCAGCCTCTCCCCCAAATAAATTATTTTCAAATCTTTATATAAAATTTACTATATATATGTGTGATAATGAAAGTATCTATCTTTAGTATAACATAATCAAGGTTAAGAGAAAGTAAAAATTAGGTTCAGACTTTTTAATACTGCAGGGTACATTTTTAGTACCCTACAGAGAGAATTAGTCACACGACTCCCATTAACTTTAATGGAACCTGTATGGGCAAATTGTATGCTGAAATTCTTAGGAAGTTAATGTCAGTAGGGTTTACTAGCTTCATTTTTTTTTTCTCTTTAGACCTTTACTTTGGGCTACTTTTACTTTCTTAGGGTCCAGAGGGAAGACAAGTCAATAAAAATGATTAACATAAATGTTTTCCAAGTTTTATAAGCTCGAATTTTCTATAATTCTGCCAAGAACTTAGAAATCTACAAACAATGCTTATAACATTTTTATTCAATTAGCAAGTAAGTTCTACTAAATAAACAGCATGACTTTAAAATATGAATCTTATAAGTGTTCCTTAAATATGAATGTTGTAGCATTCTTTATTTTCTACTGCCTATTCATTTTTCATATTCTCATTCGAAATTACAGTAGCAAAATCAAAAACCTCAACACTATTTTCAAAATAATAACTTTTGAAATTGAATATCTTTGTATTACCATACTTAGTTGATGATATGTGAAATGTGTAATTCTATACATTGATCTTGTTAAAATATTGTATATCAATCACACTTTGGCATTATTGAGAAAAAATCAGATAAACAATTAAAATTAAAACTTCCTCACAAGGGGCAAAGGAACTTAAATTTTATTCACAGCTATCAGCAATACCTTTCTAAAATTGTTAATTTAATCAACTGATGATGTGGTAAAGTCACAATTTGTTAATGAATTTAGCTAAATGTTCTTAAAATTTACTCTCATCACACTGGGAACAATGAAAGAGATAATTGAAGATTCTTTCAAGTCAACTCATAGAAGGTGTTTATAGCACTACTAAATTTAGAAACAACTGAGTATATCTCAATTCTGTTTTCTATACCAAAAGACCTACTCGCATTTAGAACTGCTGGAAATTCACCATTTAAAAAAAAAATACCATTTTTAGGAACCTCAATGAAAGCTTAGAGAAATTTTTGTTTTATCTTATTTGGGCAGCTACATACCCAAAACTATACTTATCAGATAAAAATAATGATTTGATCAAGAATATAGAGCAGACATTAATAAGGCACTGATAATTCACATCCTAATTAATTACGTCTTGGAAAAATATTTCAGGAAAACATAAGATTTGTCCAATATCATCGGTTACATAAAAGAAAAAAGTTTCCCATAAGAACTTAGTTGGTTATCATGGGGCCTCTTTGAAACATGTGTACTATCAATGAATGTTAGTTCTGTAAATAATGTTTCCTGTCCAGTGTACACTATCATTTTAAAAGTGAAGAACTGAGACTCCACGAGGCTAAGTGACTATCCTAAGGTCTCCTAGCTTCTTGGAATCTCTCAACTAGTCATTCTTTTGTTGAGGGCCTTTTATGAAGTACCTACAGTGACCTTACTCAACTTCAGTGAATGAGCAAAGGTAAGGGAACAAAATGTGTAAGACAGGCACCATCTTGGATCTGAGATTTAATGAGGGAAACCCTTCAAAGAAGGAAATAAGTAAGCAGAAAAGACAATTTTAGACCATGGGACATACTAAATAATACAGCATAATCTTCATCAACTGAGAATGCAGCTATTTAATATTATTTCTTGCCTTAGTTACTTTGATATCCTCACTTCAATCCTTGAAGTTAAAAGTAAAGAGATTTATCAAAAATCTACTTTTCACCCTCTCATCAGCCAATGTCCCTCAAAAGGTATCCACACATTCATGAAACACAGAAGTATTTGCCATGTTTCCTGACATCTATATCATGTGTTTGTCAGCATTCAGAGATGCTCATTTTCATTGGAGTTTCTCACTGAATGTGTCTCCTCTGGCACCCAGGTGTTAAAACTTAGTGGAAAGGTAACAGTATTCTAAGGTGAGAGCTTTAAGTGAATAAGTCATGAGAGTGGAGCCCTGGTGCATGGGATTAGATGTCTTTATAGAAGCATTTAGCACAATCCACTGCTGTTCCCATTCAGTTTTCTGTTATGTGAAGTCCTGGTATTTCTCCCTGCCAGAGGACACAAGGGTTCAAAATACCATCAACAAATCCACCAGCCACTTGACTTTGGAATGCTAGACTGAAGAACTGTGAGAAATAATTTTCTGTCCTTTATACATAAATCACCTAGTCTGTAATATTTTGTTATAGCAGCATAAATAGAATAAAACACTGAATTTTGCAGTTTTGGGCCTTCTGGGTTTGTCCTCATGCCACAAAATAAGTTCAAAGACTGAAAACCCAAGATCAAGTGGGGGGAAAAAATTTAGAAAAGACTTGTGGGAGGATTTTTCTCCAGAGCAAAATGGTTGTCGCTCCATGATTACTTCTCATTCTGTGTGATTTTTCTGTGTAGAGAACAAAAGAGAGTTTGAAAGATAAGGTGGAGTGTGAATTTGGCTGCTTGTAATTCTATGAAATTACACTGACTGTCTTGTCTTCAATGTCAGACAGTGAAACCGTTTCCTCTAACTAGCAAAAGAGATGCTCAGTGCTTTTGTCTTTCACTTTTACTGAATGCATAATTTATGTATGGCCCATTTATTACTAACCATGAAGTATTGTACCTGGAAATCTGCT